ATTGCACATTGTATTTATGCACAGGCACAGACATTTCCGTACATTCACGTTGTTTCCACACACATTCACTATAATGTTTTGATTTGTCATGTTTATGTTGCTGTGTTTAGTTATTCTGAATGGATCCGTGTACTGTAGTAGATAAATGCAGTCAGCAGGTGATTTGTTTAGGTTTTTTTTTTTTGGCATCTCCATGTGGTCCTGTTCGGTATCACAACTTGGCTTCTCCAAAATGTAAAAAATCTCTTTGGTGTTGCACTGTACACATACTATAAAATTCTGATTTTTTTTTTCTTTCATATGTGCTTATATGGGCTCCTTATGTCATTTGGATCTTTGGTGTCCTTTTTCGAGTTTCTAAGTGTCCTTTTTTGGAAAGACATCTAAATGTATCTTGAAAAAAGCTTGCAGAAAATATAGATTTTTGAGAATCACCCTTCAATCATTTGGTTTACTTTGCTGCATAGCAAATGATGACAAAATAAACATTTGAAACCAGATAAATGGTCTATGCTTAATTTCATGAAGTGTGCGATTAATCACAGAAAAAGGATGTGATTTATTAGATAAAAAATTTTAATCGATTGACAGCCCTAAAATAAAGTCATCAGAACACAGAGTAGTGGTATAACTGAATTAATTGGTTCGGTAGAATAATTGATTTGTTTCTAAATGAATCAGTGTTTTTGAATAAGTTGTTGAATGATTGCTTTAATAATCACTCATAAAAGATTGCCTGTTTGTTTCCAGACTGAATCAGTGTTTTTCAACAAATCAATAGTGTGAATGATTCACTATAGACACTAGTTGTGTTCATGAATGTATCAATGTTTTTGAATAAAGTGACTCATTCCTAAATACTTATTGGCACCTACAGGTGTATCAATGTTACATAAAAAATACATAATGCACAGACTGGAATTTGGAACAAAACCATTTCAATGACAAATATAAACAAAGAGGTGTTAAAAATTGCAGCTGACATTCTTTCCAGTTAATTCATCGCACAGGAAATGGCCAGACAGTTTTTCTTTTCATTTTATAAAGTCTTTTTGAGATGTTTAACAAGTAGAGATGTTTAATAAGTAAAGAAGACTTTATTGGTCAAAAATATCTTTCTCTTCTACTTACCTTTTCAATTACTCTCTTGCATTTTTCAGAGACTACGAATGAGAGCTGTAACAAGCGAAATTCTACCACTGTTCGAGAAATACCACCGACCCCCAATTACGATGACGCAGGAGAGTACACGTCCCTCAAAGACACAAGAGAAACTACGAAGCAGTACATTAGCGATGGGAGCGAACAGCCTCTCCTGAAGTCTTCAGACAGCGAGGGCTCCACCAGTGGTTCGGAGTCAACCATAAGAGCTGTTTACGCCCATGTCGCCCGCCTTTCCAAACACTCCAAAGAGGAGGAGGACAACGCCTCACCAGAGAAGACAAAAGAGAAGACGAAACCTCGTCCTCCAGACCCTTCCACCAAACCGAAGGTGTCCTGGATCCACGGAATATCTGGAAGCAGCCCAACAGAGCAAAGCCAGACTCCATCACCGCATAAAGAAAAGAGGAAGAACAACTCGGAAGGTTCTGGAAAGGTGGATGAGAAGCAGCGATCAAAGGAGAAGTCAAGCAAATCTCACAAAGCTTCGGATACCATTGAGCACCTCAATGGAACATTCCAGAACGCCCTGAAGAAGATCGGAAACTTTCACTCGGACAAGAAAACAAACGACACCAACAAAGATCCACCCAAGAGCCCAAAGATCATGCATCCGCATATGAACTCTGAGGCCGCCACGCTACTCGCGGCCCAGCTGAAGGAAAAGACCCAAAGCCTTAATCGGAACGAGGGTCTCACGGTGGGCATTAAACCCAATGGTGTATCAACACCTCAAGCCAACAGAGAGAAACCCACCCCACCTCAAAAGACCAAGCGCTCTGCAACTGGGACCAACAAGCCCCTTCTTCCCACCTCCAGCAACCTCCAGAAGATGGTGGCTCCTGTTTCAGACTCTACACCTGAACCTAAAAGCCCAGAAAAACAAGGGGTTAATGGGACCAGAGTTGAAGGAGACGCCACAGCAAAGAAAACACCCATCAAAAAACCACCGAGGAAGAAAGGAAAGGAGGGAACACTGGAGACGGAAGGCAAAAGCACTCCAAAGATGGCCATTATGCCACCTCAGACTGTCAAATAGATGTTTGATCACATTGGTGCGTCCATTTTTGAGAATATAAACGTACAGTTTTTCTTTCATTAAACATTATATAGGAATTGGATGGATTATTTGATTTTTTTTAATGGACAAGCTGCTTATAGGATTTTATATTTTGAAGGATTGTGGTTCTCGTTAACTCTTTGAAGACCTGGAATCGGAAACAACGTTGTGGCTTGTGTACAGTATTAAAAAGGAAGAGTGATTGAATTTAATGTAATAAGCTCATGTTGTATGCTCAATTTTACATATACGTCCAAAGAGAGATTTTTCAATGCTATCGTAATTGTGTGATCAACAGGTTTTTGTGTCTGAAAGGCTGAATTTAGCACTGTATTCACAGGTGTAAAGAATGAACCAAAGGTACTTTAAAGGTGCTGAAAGAATGATGCCTATATTGATTTTCTCTCAGGCCATATTAGTATATTCAATACCTTGTAAATTGTGTCATGAAGGAAATTCTCAGCTTAGTTTCTAAGACATGTCATTTGGTTCACGTTCATCAGTACTTCACGCTTTTTAAGCTTAAAATTTGTGATATCTATTCTTGCTGTTGAAGCTTAGCACTAGTTTGTCCTTTTCCCATAAAGTACCCACAGTCGGTATTGCATTTTTTGTTTAAGGCCATATAATGAAAATTTAGGTTGTTTTTTTGTTTTTTTTTGGCTTTTAGTCGGTGTATGTTGGAGTAGGCTGTTTAAATGATATTAAAGCCCTAAAAGTTCAGAAAACAAGTACAGTTATACAACCTTTCTCCTCTGGGATGGATCTTGTACACCGGGGAGTATTCAAATTTGCATCCAATAAAATTCAGTCCTTGCTGAACTTCCTGTTGAAATAGGAAACACACATAAAAAACATTTTTTTTAAATTGTGGGGGAAAATGAAAATGTTTCAATCAGTTTTGAACTTGTTGATATTTGAATTTAAAAATCAGCACTTAAATTATTCTTAAACTCAGTAATTATGGCAAATGCTTTTCTGTACATTACTGCACGTTTCTACAGCGTAACTATGGCATTACTATAGTGCTCACTGGCATTTAATGAAAAATAATAAAATATATATACACATATACATACAGCAATTGCAACCTACAAACTTTTACCATCAAATATTATTTGTCCTGCCGTAGGAACAATCGTAACACCTTAAAGATGCCAGTATAAAACAACCTACAAGTCAGATTAAAGGGTATTACCTTAAGTATTCATTCTTCAGAGTTTGCCTTCACTATACAGTAGCAGGACGTTCAATACAACCAACAAAAATGTTTTTCTGTGGTTAAAATGAACACAATAATGGCTCATGACTGCAGCGTGTTTGTTTTTTAAGCTTACTAGCTGAAACACCCTATAGCACTTGCAAAATACTTTTTTAGGATGACACCAACAGAAAGAATTCATGAAAAACTGGATGGTTTTATTTTAACAAAGAACCTATGGTTAAATGTTCAGTCTGGGTCTGCGGTATTTTTGAGTCTGAAAGCAGGTTCACAAAAAGCTTTTCGATTGTGGTGTACAGTAACTGCTATTCCCTCATATGGTACCTTATATTTTTCTAAATGCTAAGATATTTTGTAATAATATTTTTACCTTCATTTGTAAGCTGTGCTTATACAACTTATATCTTGCTTTTAAAAAAAAAAGTGTCAAATGAACTGGTTTTCAATTTTGATTACATTCTTTTTTTATGTGCAAGCATCAGGTACATTTGGATTTAATGTTTAAATATCGTTCTGTTTACTCTCAAAATATCTTTTTCACGTTTCTCTGTGGATGTTATTGTTTTTATGAGCGATAAACTGCATGATGCAGAGGTCAGTGAGAGATCGCTGAGAGAAATCTATGCATGTTACCCCATGCTCTGTTTTTGCTGTTCTGTTACTTGGGACCTACGACAAAAAACGACTTTTCATGTTGTTGCACGAATACAGAACATCACCATCCGCAGTGTATGACTTTATGGGAGTATGAATAACAGATTTTTTTTTTCTACTCTGACTTTGGCATGAGCTTTGACAGAAGTTCAGCTTTTAAACATGGAGCATTATCAGTAGCACGCATTATCTTCATTCATTTTGTCCTGATTTTTGGCTTTCTGTGTTGTTGTTGTGCGGTTGTTCAGTTACCGTATCTGAAATAAAAGCAAACCTGTAGCTCATGATCAAATGGCTCTCCCTTCAACATTCAATATAATATAATATAATGTAATGTAAAAAAACAAACATTTTATAAAATTCAACTAGGACAAAAAAGACAAGATTTTGTACATACAACCTATAAGATTCTATTCTTTAAATAAGATTCTTTAAATGTACTTGTGCTTAAAACTGTAAGAGTTTTTATGGGTCCATTGTTACGGGGCTGACAAGACATGAGACATGCGGATCCATGTGCAAGCTTTATTAAAACAGAGAGGTCAGAAACACAGGCAGGGTCGAACAATGGCGAACAGGTATATGGCGGGCAAGACACAAGAATAATCCTAGGGCTAGCGAAGGTCAACGAACGGCGAACAGAATCAAAATCAGTGCAATGAATGATGGGATATGTAGTCCGGGGTGATATGCAACAGTGTGTAGTGCGAGAGTCAATGAAAATGGAAAGGGTGACCTCTGATGGCTAGCAGACGGAAGTTCATGGACCGGATACGTAACATCCATCTTACAAAATAAGTCCTTAAAAGTTATTTTATTTGTAAAATTTGATTCCATTTAACAACGATGGCTATTTTCAAAATATTTAAATAGGATTTTGTTAGATTCACTTATGTTTTGTAGCCAGATCTGTTTTTTAAGGCCATATACATACAGTAATAATAATAATAATAATAACAATAAATATTAATAATATTATTAATATTATTAATTGTTTTAATTATACTAAACATTGATCATATTTACAAAAAATCAAATCCTGATTATTATCAAATCCTGTTTTGATTATTATATAATCAAATCCTTTTTTTCCACTAAATAAGCACATTATATAAAAACAATGGAATAATGCAGTGGAATTACATTAAAATTGTATATATATGCACCAATATGTGACCCTGGAGCACAACACCAGTCTTAAGTCGCTTGGGTATATTTTTAGCAATAGCACAAAAAAAAAAACATTGTTAAATATATCAAAACTTAATTTTTGATTAGTAATATGCATTGCTAAGAACTTCATTTGGTCAACTTTAAAGGTGATTTTCTCAGTATTTAGATTTTTTTGCTCCCTCAGATTCCAGATTTTCAAATAGTTGTATCTCGGCTAAATATTGCCCTATCATAACAAACCACACATCAATGGAAAGCTTTATTTTATTAAGCTTTATTCAGCTTTCAGATGATGTATAAAAATCAATTGAAAAAAATGGACCCTTATGGCTGGTTTTGTGGTCCAGGGTCACATATATGAATTAATAATAATAATAATAATAATAATAATAAACTGCAGTATTTACCTACAGATATATTTACAAAATATTTTAAAATATACAAGGATGTTTGAAATCTGAGTAGCTAAATCAGTGTTTTGAAACGATGTACCAAATGCGACAGTAGACACTGATCTGTGGAAATGAATCTGTGAACTGATCTGATCTGTGAACTTGCATCGAATGAATCAATAAATTAATCAAACTCAGCATTATGGGCATTATTAGCATTTTCGAGGAGGTGCTAAACTGGCCTACTGCTTCATAACGGCTTATGAAACTTAGTGGAAAATTAATAAAAAGCACACTACAATCATCTGGATATTCAATCTCCATCTATAATGTTGGTTAATTTAGAAAAAAATGCCAATATAAACGGTAAATGGTAAATTCATCACACAGCCTTAGAAGAAAAAATAAATAAATATTGTTTAGAGAAAGGTGGTCTCATTCACTACAAGATGATCTAGTATGTCTCTAAATGACACTCTGCTCGCTCTGGTTTTTTTTCTCTCCCATCCATTTTCCCGTTTATACAGTAAATGATATTTTACAGTTTCCGCTGACTCCTGGCTGCCTCTGTGCTCTGAGCAGGGGATCATGGGGAGGTTTTTTCATAGCGGTAGCTGTTGCGACGGTGGTCATATGCTCATCAAACTCTAAAGGGCCCAGAGGACTCAACTCCTCTACTGGCACAACAACCTCTTTTATACAGGAACAGTTGGAAGTCTGTGCGATGGGGCCCTGGAGTTAAAGCATCATGCGCTGCGTATTTGTCTTTTTTAAGAGAGAGAGAGAGGG